GGTTGGCTTGAAAGCTTCGTAACAGGTTCTATGTTCTGAAATAAAAGAATAGTGGAATCCACCAATGGTTCATTTCAAAATGGAAGAGATGTGCGCCATATTTGGAAATGTTGTCTTCATATTGTTGTTTTTTACATTCACTTTCACCTGAGAGTTAACATACTAAGTATGTTAGTCTCAGTTTTTAGGTTTCAATTTTCAATTCTTTTTTTTGGTGCGAGCTGGAAGATGATTCTCTGTGTTGTAGCCTATTTGTAGCCAATTTTTAGTTTTTTAACTATTTTTTTCTTGTGTTGAGGTCAGTGCAAATGCGACCATTATTTGGTCCAAAAAGCAATCAACTGTCTAGGTATCTATGACCTAGACACTGATTGTTAAGGTTTAAATGTTATTTTGTCAAATGATAATCCCTTGCATGCTTCGGAGTTAGGGTAGTCATTAAAACCATTTTTCTCAATGTAGGTGTTTTGAAGAAGGTGAAAAAGGACAATGACTACTACTGCTCTGGACTACAACTACTACTGTTGCAAAGAAGATACTGATACTAATAAATCAATTTTCTCCTTGCACAAAATCACAATTTAGCCAGAAGAATGAACTTGGTAGCAGCCACACAATGGTTACAGTGCTGCAAGCAGTATTGTATTGACTAGTTAAAATCTATTACTACCTTACTCCATCCCTCAAAATTCTTTTTTTGGCAATTTATTTGAATTGGAATAATAAGATTAACATGCATTACATATATTTTTTCTTTTTTTCAGCAAATCGGGCCTTGGTTGCTACACAGGGAACACTGTTTGCATGTGTTTGGTAATTTTTCATTCTGAGACTTTGGGAACTAAACAGGGAAAATAGTTTAAATGCAATCAATTTGGTCTTGATCATTTGTTTGATTACTATAATGCTAGCTATCTGAGCTATAGAAGTACTAATTTGCCAATTAATTCAGCAATCATACGATTTTTATTCAGAGTTTTCATTAAACTGTACTTACTCAGCAATGATTTGATTTTATATGTCACCACCAGGAGTTGTGAAATAGTGTGATATTCTCTATTTAGTGGACAAAACTACTTCATTGATGGCAGTCAGCAATTAGTGTTAAGCTACTGTTACAAATTGCTTCTTAAACAAATGGCCGGTGATGACATTTGCATGTTAATGCATAGTCTTAAAAGCAATATATAAATATACTCATATCTAAAAATGGTCATTCCAGAGATATGGATATATTCACCTATTCCTTTTAAGGAAAAAATCAAATCCTCCTTGCTGACTTTTTCCTCTTTTTTTCAAGTACTTTCAGGTCGTAACAATGTCTATCCTGTAAATGAAGTGACAGAGAAGATCGACAGAGATCCACAGTCTGCTGCAGCTGTTTGCAGTGTTTGTATCTACAAAGCATGTTGTTACTGATTCTAGTGATAGGCGTTTGCAACAATTTTGTGTAACAAAGTTATGGACTGCAATTACACATTGTGTGAAATCATCAACTTTGAGAGAAGAACATTATTATCGCAGTCTTCTGTATTTGGCACTATTAATAGCTCTGTTACATATACAACGATGATGATGTAACTCTCTTGTGACACCACTCATGACTGTTACCTAGACTGACAATGGTGAAGAAACTCTTGAAAGAACTGTGATTACAAATTATGTACAATCCTTACATTGGAGTGATCATTATCATATCCTCTGTGGCACCACTTACCTCTCAATGTCTTAATGTTAATTCAAATAATGAACACATGTCTGTATGTTCTAGAATAACCTATGAACTGTATGACAAAAGATATACAAATGTATGCATATTTCTTAATGTTAAAACTGGTCATTATTCTTTAATGTAAGTCCATTCAAATTCATGAAATAATCAAATGACTTACCAAAGCCACTTTCCAAAAGCATTCATGTCTCAAAAGATGGCATAAAATATGGGTTTCTTGTAAACTTCTCAGTTCTTTGAGAAAATATTGCAGAAATTGAACCCATTTCGAACAGAAGTAACATTTATGATAGTGATGTGATGAAGTGTGAGTTTTTAATCTATTAAATACTGTTTAAGTGATACTTTCAATAGAGGAGTTGCTGTCTAGATAAATCAATAGTTGGTAGTAGACGTGAGAGGTTTTGGTCAGGTTAGATTACTTTTCAGAATATTTATAATTTGGACACCTGACAAAAGTCCTATTATTTCTTGATTCAGCAGAAATTCCCAATTCAATTTTTGTGAAATCTAATGGAATGTAACAAGAAGGACTTGTGCTTTCACATTAAAATTGTGATGTTTTAAAGAATAAATTAAGTTTTGATGTATATTGTGATTTACCGCGATCTACATGTTTCCACGCGATCCATAGTTTTCAGCTTCCAATGACCACTTAATATGTTTGAGATCCAAAGTTGTCCGTTTCAAATTACAATTGAATATGCCTGATATCCAGTTGTCCTCTTCAAATTATCACTGACTATGCCCAAGGTGCATAGTTGTCCTCTTCCAATTACCACTGAATATAATGCCTCGGATCCATAGTTGTTGGGTTCCAATGATCCCTGTTCGTGTCTAAGAGATCAGTTATCAACTTTCAAGCTTATTGAATATGTCTGCGAGAATCCCGATTAGTATATTTCTTCAGGAGAGTTATATTCAGCTTCCAATAAGGGAGCTCTTGGAGAAATGAGTGGTTCCCATAATTCTGTCATGTTCCTTCGTATTTATGGAAATGATTTTTTAAATTCATGATTCGCAATGCATGATGATGTAAACAATCTTGACCATGATCTCTCCTAGGGCCGTGCATACTAAAGCAGGCCTGTCAACTGTCCCGCAATTTGCGTATTTGTCACGCATCACGCACTGTCAAGTTGACAGGCCTGCTAAAGTAAAATTTGAAATCTTAACATCAGTTAAAAAGAATTTTAAGTAAATCGATTCAAACTTGCAGAGAATATTCACAAAACAGCAAACAATCACAGAGATATTTCGATGGCAAATGAGGCCTGTTTCCAAAATTGGTAATTGAATGTGCCAATACAAATCTCGCCCCCCCCTCTACCGGGGCCGTATAGATGAATGAATATGAATAAATAGATGTCAACAATAATATTAATTTTCGGCCAGACTGCCATTCGGTTCTAGTGAGCCATTCGCCTACATGTCATCCAATATAGTCCATTTGTTATTTTCTTAACGTATGAATATTTAAAAACATGATGTTTTTCTGTGCAAATACCATCATTAGGGTTTATTGGAGTGATTTAGCTGGGTTGCCAAAAAATTAACGTTGGGGAAAATTTTTGTATCTATCACCATGGTAACATACCAGGTACGTGGTGGTATCCCGACGCTAAGTCAATAGTCAACGCCATGTTAAGCCAATGCACCCCTCTCTAATTAGCCGATATACTTTTTTCCCCAAACTAACTTTTTGTCCAACCCAGTTAAATCACTTCAGAAAACCCTTGTTATTATAAATTAACCATAAAACATCGTGTTTTTAACAATTCATAGGTTCACTACAGTATGTATAGGGGTGACAAATGGACTAATAGGGGAATTTCAAAATAGCTTTGAAATCTTGCAAATTCTCGTTTTTAATGAGATCCCGGGAATGAGAGTTTAAGAGATTTTCACTTATTACCTCTAATGATTTAATTTTCTTTATTTTTGATAGCATATTTGATGTCAGTGGAACGTTTTCTCAAAGAATAGCTTTGATTTACACAGTTATACCTTTTAAATCATTTTTCATGGCATTTAAAAAAACATGGGACAAATCTCCATTGATGTAATGCTAAAATCCTTTAAAACAATGTTTTTTTCGAATGACGCCAAACATTTTCATGAACAATACGTTCATTGACAGGGTTATACAATAGTATGCCATTAGAGTTTCAGACAGATTCGACAAACGCGCTTTGATAAATCATGAAATCAAGTGACTATGCAAGTTTCTAGCTCCGGTTTCTAGCATTAAAGTCAATAGAAGTTTAGTCCAAGCAAATTAAATACAAACAAGAGTGGCATCTATTATTCAAGCTTTATTCAGTTATATAGATACTATACTATTACCACCGTTTTGTGCCATCTCTATGCCAATTACATTTCAATATGAGGTCCATTGTCTTCGGCCGGCGTAAAATCGTATCCTCAAGGCCAAATACCAGGAAGTAATATATTACCTGAACTTCATGCTAGATGCTAATCCCATACAAATCATCAGGTCTATATGACACCCGGGATATGACAATTATATGTATGGGTTCTCTGACGCTAATATTGAGACCATGTTCAAATTAGAGTTCTAATTGTGTCTAAATGCAATGAAAATGTCCAATAAGTCCCCTCTACTGCCAAAACCGAGATATATGGTACCAAAATTTAGTAGGATATACACGTATCATTGGGAAGATTGTTAAAAGTTACGTTGATTGGCATAAATCTGATGCCAGTCACAAATTGCACTATTATATCAAACAAAAAGTTTGATAATATTGGGAAATCTCCATCCCTTGAAACTCAAAATGTTAGCAATATGCTATTTGCAGACAATTTAGTTTTAGTTGCATTCCTTCTTGGTAGTGTCAAATATAACTAAATCGTCCGTTTCAAATTACAATTGAATATGCCTGATATCCAGTTGTCCTCTTCAAATTATCACTGACTATGCCCAAGGTGCATAGTTGTCCTCTTCCAATTACCACTGAATATAATGCCTCGGATCCATAGTTGTCGGGTTCCAATGATCCCTGTTCGTGTCTATGAGATCAGTTATCAGCTTTCAAGCTTATTGAATATGTCTGCGAGAATCCCGATTAGTATATTTCTTCAGGAGAGCTATATTCAGCTTCCAATAAGGGAGCTCTTGGAGAAATGAGTGGTTCCCATAATTCTGTCATGTTCCTTCGTATTTATGGAAATGATTTTTTAAATTCATGATTCGCAATGCATGATGATGTAAACAATCTTGACCATGATCTCTCCTAGGGCCGTGCATACTAAAGCAGGCCTGTCAACTGTCCCGCAATTTGCGTATTTGTCACGCATTAGCTGAAGAATTTGAAGTCACGCGCGAAAAATTTGAGGTGTTCAAAATTTGGCAAGATGTAATAAAATTTAAACCAAGGTGTTCAAAATTTGGATCAAGGTGTTCAGATTTGGACCAAGGTGTCCACATTTTGAGGGGAGGTGTTCAACATTTCCATGTCACTCATGTTAGGTGTTCCCAAGTTGACAGGCCTGCTAAAGTAAAATTTGAAATCTTAACATCAGTTAAAAAGAATTTTAAGTTAATCTATTCAAACTTGCAGAGAATATTCACAAAACAGCGAACATTCACAGAGATATTTCGATGGCAAATGAGGCCTGTTTCCAAAATTGGTAATTGAACGTGCCAATACAAATCTCGCCCCCCCCCTCTACCGGGGCCGTATAGATGAATGAATATGAATAAATAGATGTCGCCAATAATTTTAATTTTCGGCCAGACTGCCATTCGGTTCTAGTGAGCCATTCGCCTACACGTCATCCAATAGGGGAATTTCAAAATAGCTTTGAAATCTTGCAAATTCTCGTTTTTAATGAGATCCCGGGAATGAGATTTTAAGAGATTTGCACTTATTACCTCTAATGATTTAATTTTCTTTATTTTTGATAGCATATTTGATGTCAGTGGAACGTTTTCTCAAAGAATAGCTTTGATTTACACAGTTATACCTTTTAAATCATTTTCCATGGCATTTAAAAAAAACTTGGGACAAATCTCCATTGATGTAATGCTAAAATCCTTTAAAACAATGGTTTATTCGAATGACGCCAAACATTTTCATGTACAATACGTACATTGACAGGGTTATACAATAGTATGCCATTCGAGTTTCAGACAGATTCGACCAACGCATTTTGATAAATCATGAAATCAAGTGACTATGCAAGTTTCTAGCTCCGGTTTCTAGCATTAAAGTCAATAGAAGTTTAGTCTAAGCAAACTAAATACAAACAAGAGTGGCATCTATTATTCAAGCTTTATTCAGTTATATAGATACTATACTATTACCACCGTTTTGTGCCATCTCTATGCCAATTACATTTCAATATGAGGTCCATTGTCTTCGGACGGCGTAAAATCGTATCCTCAAGGCCAAATACCAGGAAGTAATATATTACCTGAACTTCATGCTAGATGCTAGACCCATAAAAATCATCAGGTCTATATGACGCCCGGGATATGACAATTATATGTATGGGTTCTCTGACGCTAATATTGAGACCATGTTCAAATTAGAGTTCTAATTGTGTCTAAATGCAATGAAAATGTCCAATAAGTCCCCTCTACAGCCAAAACCGAGATATATGGTACCAAAATTTAGTATGATATACACGTATCATTGGGAAGATTGTTAAAAGTTACGTTGATTGGCATAAATCTGATGCCAGTCACAAATTGCACTATTATATCAAATAAAATGTTTGATAATATTGGGAAATCTCCATCCCTTGAAAATCAGAATGTTAGCAATATGCTATTTGCAGACGATTTAGTTATATTTGATACTACCAAGAAGGAATGCAACTAAAACTAAACACGCTTGAGTCCTTATGTAATGTATGGAAACCTGAAATTAACATTGATAAAACAAAAATCATGAAATTCTGGAAATGTGGCAACGTTTGTCAAGAACGATCCCAAAATGAATGGTTAGAATAAACAAAATGTTCAAAAGTATACATATTTAGCAACTGTCATCAGTGATTGGGGATCGAGCAAATAAAGCCATTACATGTTTAAAGCGGCACACATACATGAAATCGTCCTGAAATTGAAATTACATTGTATGATCAACTTATGAATCCATCGCTTTGTACGGTTTGGAAATGTGGTGTAATGATGTATAACGGTTGTCCCAAAAACGAAACACTTTTTGAAAAGTACCTTTTGGCAACTGATGAACCAAACTCATTGAAAAGGACACGTGGCGGCAAGCCCTTCTTTTAGCTCCCTTACAGAACAAGTATATATTAACATGGAATTGGATACGAAGTATGACTTATTACTTAAAATGTTATTTCTGAGAATTTTGACATTTGACCTTGACATTAGGGTGGTTTAAAGGTCAACTTTGAGAGATGCTATTTTTGTCAAAATGTTGCCATTTTCTAACACAAGAAATGAAAGCAATCGGCTTAATTATCCCAACGAACGAAGTTCGTTAGGGATATAGTGAATCCCTCCGTCCGTCCGTCCGTCTGTCCGTCAGTCCGTCAGTCCGTCAGTCAGTCAGTCCGTCAGTCAGTCCGTCCGTCTGTCCGGAAGATAACTCAAATACTAGTTGACAGATTTTCTTCATATTTAGTGGAAAAATGTATATTGGTGAATAGTTTTACGCAAAAAAAGATTTTTTCAAGATGGCCGCCGCTTTAAAAATGATGGGACTTTTTCGCAAAAATCATAAATTTTTCATTCTAAACCAAAGTAATTAATATTATTGTTTGAAATTTTGGAAGTGTATTCACAACATTTATATATTTCAGATATATTCTGTGTTTTTCATCCTGACCCCCAGGGGCCATGAATGGGGGGACAGGAAAACAGAAATTTTCGCTAATTTTTAGATCTTTCTGAAGTATAGCTTTATTATACTCAAATGAAAGGCAATTAAGAGTAGATTGCAAATATTGTATCTTTTTTTCTGATTCGAGCCTCGTAAAATTCAAAATGGCCGTCTAATGTACGATTTCGCAATAATTTTTTGATCCTTTCAAAGTATGGCTATATTATACTCAAATTGAAGGAATTTTGGAGTAGATCACAATTATGGTATTGTTTTTCAGATTTGTACCTCAGAAAATTCAAAATGGCTGCTTTGAAGGAATTTGCAATTCTAAAATCTAATTTTTTCATTTTCAACCAAAGTAATGAGTATAATTGATTGGAATTCGGTAATTGATATTTTGTTCGTTGGGATTTGCTACTCCGCGGAGTTGCCATTATCTAGTTTTGACTGCGACTGACTGAAGAAATATGAATGGGAATTAAAATATTTATAATAAATTCTCACGGGCATTAAAACGAAAATTGAGGATAAATCCCCATATGGGCATTTTTAGGGGGACTAAATTTTCCTGTTTCAAAAATGAATGCTTTTGCTGCCTTTTGAGACTCCAACAGTATCTTAAGCTTTAAGAGTTGGGATGTGATTATTATTTAAAATGCCCATGGGCAATTAGGATAACATGTCTGCAATTAAATGCACACTAGGGCAATTCCATGAGAATGGATGTTCTTATTTCAATTGCTTCTCGCCAGTTTTCTAAACATGTTTGCCATATTCTACATAGTTATATGGTCACTTTTAATAAATGCCCACTGGCATTTGCTTTGGAATTTGAAATTAAATGTCTTTATGGACATTTAACCTTAAAGTCATTTGCCAATTTGCAGTTCCCATATTTAAACACAAATAATTCAGAAAAATCCTCTTTCAGTATACTATACAGGGCGTATAAAAAAACTCAACAAGTAGTTATCTTGTTAAATCACAAAACTAGTGATGACTACATCAATATCATTTAATGTACCATAAAGCCACGTCTCTCCTCTTTGCAATGATATGTCATTCATTCACATATATGTGGTAATGGTTGGGTGAGAAGTCCTTCCATTTGCACAGTGGGTCAAAATCGGCTCTGCGCCAAGTTTTAGATATTGAAAAATTTAGTGCAAGGGCTAAGTGCCAATGGAAGTTCCCCTGACTTGAATTGTTGTGACTTTTTCTTTTGGAGCTATCTCAGGAGCATCTGTGCTCACAATTCCTTGAGCTGTTTTCTTTGCTTTAACCCACAAATGATTCAGGGCTGAACCATGCATGGTGTGGACAGATGAGCGCATCTTTATGTGGTGGAAATTTGGAGGGGTATAGGATGTATTCTTGCAAGGGTATGAGTATGAACACTTTACTGTCTATGCCATTACCTGTCACACCTTCTTCCAATACCAATAGCCCCTATGCCCCTTGTACTGACTTTTGCAATGTTTTAAACTTGGGTCCGAGCTGAATTTTGCCCCACTTTGCAAAATTAATGATTATTCAGCCAGAATGACTCCCTGTGAATGAATAATATTCCATTGCAAAGAGGAGTAATTTTGCAATGTTTATAACTTGGCCGAAAGCTAATTTTGACCCACTTTGCAAATGGAATGATTACTCGCCCAACCATGACCAAATATCAATGTGTGATATATCATTGTAAAGAAGAGACACATGACTTTATGGTGCATTGAATGAAATCAATGCTGTTATCACTGGTTTTGTGCTTTTCCAAGAGAAGAATCTGTTGCGTTTTTTTGATACGCACTGTATATCATAAAATATAAGGCAGCATCATGTATAAATAGCATGACACTCAAAGGATTGCCTAAAATAATTTCTACTTATTCCCTAATTAGAAAAATACTCAGGCTATTCAAATATTTTTTTATAATTAATGCCACTTGCTTAATTCTATGTTTTCAAAAGAAACAAATTGTCCCCATGTACTCTGTACTTGTAATGCATACAAATGACATTGTTACATGAAAGAGAAGCATGAAAGAGAGCTGGAAGATTTGGTGCATATATTAGGATTATGATAGAACGCCAGGTGAATCAGTTCTTATCGGTATTAATGCGATGATAATGGGAACAAGGAATGAGACGAGGGAAATGACCATGCGACACTTTTAAACGGGAAGTTTCAAATTCTTGGTTGAGCGCATCGCATAAAACCGGGCTAAGAGCTAAAACCAATGCATTTACATCTCACTAATTAGCAAATATCATGCTTCCACCAGCGTTACGTCCGACTGGTCCGAAAATTGACATTTCGTCCACAGCACAAACTGCATCAGAGATTTAAGACGAAATAGAAATAAGATATATCACGAACGGGAATAGCATTCATTAAGTCCATTCAAGGGCATACTTCAAAATATTAACTTAAACGTCTCACAAAATAGCAAAGGACTTGCTAGTAGCAGTGTGACTAAAGGTACGTTCACACCAACGGCGAATGCCACGCTTTAAATCGGCGAGCAAAGCGCCGTCATTTTTGTCATTTTTCTTCATACCAACGGCGCTTTGATGGCGCTTTAAAGCGGCTTGTAAAGCGGCACCAAAGCTTAACAAAGTTTGATTAAAGCGTCGGGGTCGTAATAGGTCGTAGAAAAGCTCAGAGTAAAACGGGATATTCGGCAAGAGCGCCAACAAATTTTAAACTCTTAAAAAATTTTGGGCGCTCTGTTACGAATCGATTAAGCGCCGAGAGCGTATCAAAGCTTAACAAACCGTAACAAAGCTCAGAAAAACTTGATCCAAAGCGTAGGAAAGCTTAACATAGCTCTAAAAGGTTCCTCACGCTTTGATCCCGCTTTGATCAGGCTTTGTTACGCTTGAAATCACGCTTTGAAAAGCTTTGATAAGCATTATTACGCTTTGATGCGATTATGAC